TTTATACAAATGTTCAAGGAAAACCCCGCCCATGTGATGACGTCAGGAAATATTCCAAGATAACTTTGATTCTTCTTTCGAGCGACAGTTTCCCCTCCGGCTATATTACACAACTGTAAGATGCTAATGTTATTTACTCATCATTGTGTTACGCTGTACTGAACGTTCCATCGGTTAATTTATATGGAGAATATTTTATACGCTCCCTATATCACTTTCTAGATATTCGGTTGCTAAGTCCATGGTAGGAAGCGGCATTCCTGAGATTGGAGATCTGGAATGACTGACGTTGCAAGAAAGTGGACGACGGGCAGTAATTAAAGGTCTTGCACGACCATTGTGCGATGTGCTGCATGGTACTTCTGGAATGAATAACCGACTGGTGGTGATTGGTATTAAAATGGTAAGAACGACATAATCAAAATGCAACTGATACATTATCATGTTTCAAAATATAACTGAAATACTACCAATGCTATGTGCAAATAATCAGTAATCCTAATATTTTTACTTAACTAAGAATGCTAGCTTCATATGATGATTAGGAACTTCATTCTTAAAGTCTGAGGCACTCATTACTATTATCTTTTATTTACAAACATTACTCATTTATAATCCTCGACTATATTAATGACTACCCACAGCAGACTAGCTAATCATTGGCAAGAATGGCGTGTGCTCGGTTAAGAATGCCCCTTAAAGATGTAATTTTTTTATGAATCAAAGACCACCCTACAACACGAAATCAGAAAAAAAGTCATACAATAACACCTTTGCTGTAATAACAACCGATACTGCAGATGCCATTAACGTATTACTGAGTTGGTTAGGTACAGGTGATATTATTATTATTATTACAATAATAATAATAATGATAACACAACAACAATAATAATAATAATAATAATAATTATTATATTTTTTTTTTTTTTCATTTTTATTTACTTATTGAGAGAGTGGTTTGTAGGAGGCCTTTGGGTGGGGACACTGAACCTCTCCCTCGTAAGTGACACCCTTCAGACGACCGTAGAGAAGGACATCGCCGTCGCGGTCTTCCTGATGTCCGGAGTCGTTACCAGAAGGTGGGTCGTTGACAGCGGCACTCGTAATTAATTCCAATTCAAGATTCAATTCGACTAAACAATGACTTCCTTTATCATAACGGCCAGAGGTAAGTAATAAAAGTGCATACTTGGAAAAATAATTTCCTATAATTAAGCCTTTATAGTAATTTCTAGATCGTGTCGACATTGGAAAGCTAAAAGGAGAAAGCAGTCCAGTGCATATCCTAAGAACTGATTTCAAACTAAAAAACTATTTCACCGTTGTAGTTAGTGTCATTAAATATCCAACTGGATCCTCTGTCAATTATATTTACTCTGTCCTACATCGTTTAAAGTCTTTTTAGACAAATTAACAATATTATCTTGTTTAAATGGAGGACTGCCTTTTGTGAGTCACATCTTTGGCCAGCGTATGAATATATTTTGCAAAGACACCTTAAATGTGTTGCTGAATTTGACGAGGCATTTTTTTTTTTCTTCAAATTAATCAAAGCCTTATTTTTGTACTCTCCGCCTGGCGTAGATCAGGTTATTTGAAAAGGACAGTGCATTATCATTAGTCTATAGAAAGTATTTTAAGTTTGATTTACTTTATTTATTTATTATGATAACATAGTTTTTGTATTTATACATTTGACGGTTTTGAGGTTTTGGAGTCATGCAAGGAATGAAAATGTTGGAGGTCAAGTCTGCTTTTTTAATAAGTAATGTATGCATATATACTAGTCAATAAATATTCATGGAGAACATGGAATATAAAGATACAAGATTTTTAATTGCCCTAGTTATCATACTTTATGCATAAGAAGGGGTGGGCGGCTTATAGGAAGGCTGAGGAGGCCCATAGGAAGCCTGTGGGGTGGGGTACTGAGCCTCTCCCTCGTAGGTCACATCAGCCACGTAACCGGAGTCTCCGTTGACGGTGTAAGTGACCTTCTGCAGACGACCGTCGGGAAGAAGGACGTAGTAGGATCCCTGTGTGTGGTCGCCATCACGGGCTTCCTGGTGTCCGAAGTCGTTGCCAGATGGTGGGTCGTTGACGGCGTAGTTGAAGTCGTACTTTGCGGGTGCGTAAGAGGGAGTGGGAGCAGAGTAGCCATATGTAGGCGGGCTATCTGGACGGGCGATGGCGACGACCACAAGGGCGGCCAGTGCAAATACCTGTCAAAAATATTGATGTGATCATATTTATGTACTTGCTTTAGATAAAGTAATCCATTGTTTCTTCTTTTTAGAATTATCTACATTAAAAGACTAACTATTTTTAACATATTTAACAATAAATGTATATAAACATACCACATTAGATCAGTATAAATTAAGAAATTCTTTACCACTCAAATACGTTAATTGGATCAGCGCCATTACTGAATTTTAACACCATAAGTACCATTTGAACATCTCTCCTTTTCAGATCAAATTCTCGACAATATATTTGAATATAAATGAGTTTAAGCATTGTCTATAAACAATGAAAAAGGCGTATCTTAAAAAAAGAAGAAGTAAATATTTGAATCGCAAAGTGAAATGACAGTGATGCGTCGAGAAAACGGGTACGTGCCTTGAATGCCATGGTGTAAGATGAGACTGCAGAGAGACTGAGGAATACGGCGAGAGTTCTTTCTTTTATACAAATGTTCAAGGAAAACCCCGCCCATGTGATGACGTCAGGAAATATTCCAAGATAACTTTGATTCTTCTTTCGAGCGATGTTTCCCTCCAGCTATATTTACACAGCTGTACGATGCTAATGTTATTTACTCATCATTGTGTTACGCTGTACTGAACGTTCCATCGGTTAATTTATATGGAGAATATTTTATACGCTTCCTATATCACTTTCTAGATATTCGGTTGCTAAGTCCATGGTAGGAAACGGCATTCCTGAGATTGGAGATCTGGAATGACTGACGTTGCAAGAAAGTGGACGACGGGCAGTAATTAAAGATCTTGCACGACCATTGTGCGATGTGCTGCATGGTACTTCTGGAATGAATAACCGACTGGTGGTGATTGGTATTAAAATGGTAAGAACGACATAATCAAAATACAACTGATATATTATCATGCTTCATGATTTAAATGAAATACTATCAATGCTAAAGGTAAGCAATTAGTAATCCTAATATATTTAATTTGATAATAATGCTAGCTTCATATGATGATTAGGAACTTCATTCTTAAAGCTTGAGGCACTCATTACTATTAACTGAAGTACTCTGACTACTACTATGATCTTTTATTTACAAATATTATTTATTTATATTCCTAGACTATATTAATAAATGGCTACCCACAGCAGACTAGCTAGTCATTGGGAAGAATGACGTATGCTGGGTTAAGAATGACCCTTAAAGATGTACATAATTCACATTTTGATGCACAGTCATATAAATATCTTGATCTAATCTAGCCTGCCACAACAACCATGCTACTTATATATTACTAGACCCTGGCGTTATAGGAAGACGTTATAGTTGAATAGCCTGGTTAGTGCCCTCAAAATCTGAATTTCAAACAAATGGAATTAGTTCAATGTAACACATGTCGCGTAAGATAGCCGGATTCTCAGTCATTTATATTTGATATATATATTTTTTGAAGCTAAACAATCAGTAGCACTTTTTGTGAATTAAAGACCATCCTACAACATGAAAAAAACAACAACAGTCATACAACAACACCTTTACTGTGATAACAACCGATACTGCAGATGCCATTAAAATATTACTGAGTTGGTTAGATGCAGGTGAATTATTATGATTATAATTATAATTATAATTATGAATTTCATTTTTATTTACTTATTGATTTTATTATTATTATTATTGTTATTATTATTTATTATTATATTATTATTATTATTATTATTATTATTATTATCATTTCATAAATCCATCACCCTCAGCCTTCACTCGATCAAAATATTGGGAGAAGATTGTGTATAACACCCAGACTTTAGTTTGCATTATCTAATTCAGCTTATTTGTTTTTCTTTTCCAAACTTAGCTTAAAGGAAATTATTTTGAATCAATGTTTTTGTCGACACAGTCTTAGGAGTCATGCAAAGAACGTAAGAGTGCAAGAGGTTTGGATAATTGATAAGTAATATTCTTTATCAACCAATATTCCTGGAGGACATGGAGTACAAAGAAACAAAAAAATATATCTATCCTGGCTAACAGGTTTTAAGCATAGGAGGGAAAGAGTGGTTTGTAGGAGGCATTTGAGTGGGGACACTGACCCTCTCCTCGTGACACTCTACAGACGACCATAAAGAAGGACATCGTCGTCACGGTCTTCCTGATGTCCGGAGTCGTTACCAGAAGGTGGGTCGTTGACAGCGGCACTTGTTAGTTAATTCCAATTTAAGATTCAATTCAATTAAACAATGACTTCCTATATCAGAACGGCTAAGAGGTAAGTAATAAAAGCGCATACTTGGTAAATGATTTCCTATAATTAGGTCTATATAGTAATTTCTAGATCGTGTCGACATTGGAAGGCTTAAAGGAGAAAGCAGTCCAGTGCATATCCTAAGAACTGATTTCAAACTAAAAAACTATTTCACCGTTGTAGTTAGTGTCATTAAATATCCAACTGGATCATATAAGTCAATAATACTTTACTTGCTCCTACATCGTTTAAAGTCTTTTTAGACAAATGAACAATATTATCTTGTTTAAATGACTGCCTTTTTGTGAGAGTTGCTGACTTTGACGAGGCTTTTTTTCTCTTTATTAATCAAAGCCTTATTTAGTACTCTCCGCCTGGCGTAGATCAGGTTATTTGAAAAGGACAGTGCATTATCATTAGTCTATAGAAAGTATTTTAAGTTTGATTTACTTTATTTATTTATTATGATAACATAGTTTTTGTATTTATACATTTGACGGTTTTGAGGTTTTGGAGTCATGCAAGGAATGAAAATGTTGGTCAAGTCTGCTTTTTTAATAAGTAACATATGCATATATCCTAGTCAATAAATATCCATGGAGAACATGGAATATAAAGATATAAGATTGTTAATTACCCTAGTTATCATACTTTATGCATAGGAGGGGGTGGGCGGCTTATAGGAGGGCTGAGGAGGTCCATAGGAAGCCTGTGGGGTGGGGTACTGAGCCTCTCCCTCGTAGGTCACATCAGCCACGTAACCGGAGTCTCCGTTGACGGTGTAGGTGACCTTCTGCAGACGACCGTCGGGAAGAAGGACGTAGTAGGATCCCTGTGTGTGGTCGCCATCACGGGCTTCCTGGTGTCCGAAGTCGTTGCCAGATGCTGGGTCGTTGACGGCGTAGTTGAAGTCGTACTTTGCGGGTGGTGCATAAGAGGGAGTGGGAGCAGAGTAGCCATAGGTAGGCGGGCTATCTGGACGGGCGATGGCGACGACCACAAGGGCGGCCAGTGCGAATACCTGCCGAAAGTTACGTTTACATAATTATATTAATGCATCGGATTTAGATATGCAATCCTTATTATAGGAAGTTATTATTTGCACATCTAATTAACTTGACTATCTAGACCGCCAAGAGGTTAATCAGCATAAAAAATAATGAAAGTAATATTCGGGCCATGGAATGAAATAACCGTATTATTCTCAGTGATACGCGAATGACACACACTCATACCTTGAATGCCATGTTGTCTTGATGAGACTGCAGGGAGACTGACGAAGGCAGAAAGAGTTCTGCCTTTTATACAAATGTCCAAGAAAAAACTCCACCCATGTGATGACGTCAGGAAATGCCGTCCCAGCAGTTAACCTTGATTTTTTTTTCAAGTTTTCCCCTCTAGCGAAATTACAGAAAATGTAAAATGTAACTTTAGCGTAAAGAGCTACGTGGAAGTTTTTTTTTTTTTTTTTTTTTTTTTTTTTTTTTTTTTTTGTCAATGTTACTTTATCCTATGGAGATGTACATGGATCTATACGAATAAAGTATTGATAACGGACTCTACGTAAATAGGTTTTCGTTTGCTAAGTTTAGGGGAGAAAGCTGCAAGCATCTGTAAATTTGAGACTTGAAATAACTGTATGAAATTGGGCGGCATTTAGTACTATCGAATATGTTAAACAGTCAACCATTAGATTTACGGTGTATTGCATGGTTATCCGGGAACGTCTGGGTGACTAGTGATCGTTATGAAATGGTGAATACGATATGATCGACGTGGTGGTTTCATGATTTAGTGACTACGTACGTATTTCTAACATGATTACGAATGCTATAGTAGCTGTTAACGACTGGAACAATTTACCATGGAAGATTCATTGTGAACTTCATTCTTATAGGTTGGAGCAATCCCAGTGCTACCAGTTTTTAATTTGCTGATGAATTCTAATCCAAGACTGTACTCTTCAGTGGCTACCCATATAAAAATGGCCAGTCTTAAGTAGGAAAAGCATATGCTCGGTTATGGATTCCCCTTAAAGATAAAGAGAACATTAATCACATTTTGATATATAGTCCTCCAAAAATCTTGACCTACTCCAACCTACAAAGACGAATTTGCTACTTACATATTTATTACCCGGTCGCGCCGATATGGGAAAGCTCCACATTGAGAATAGTACCCAATGTAGATGTTGCCTTTGGTTTGAAGGACCAGGTTAGAGATATGTATTCAGAACAATTAAAAGCAATCACTATTAACAGAATATGAACCTTTCAGACAGTGAACAGGAAGTTTGCAATGAAGGCTATGGTGCATGAAGTAAAATTTGACGCTTACGGAAATTTTAATCCTTTGTTTCTTAAAGGTAAACATCAGTTTAGAATGTAATGTGGAAGACATTTCTCGAATTTTCTAAGCATTTTTACACAAACATATATTTACAGTATATATGGGTATCAATACGTGTGCACATTCACACACCACACATAAGCATCTGTATGTGTGTGTGTATATATATATATAATATATATATATATATATATATATATATATATATATATATATATATTTACGTTGTATAATCATATATTTATCTATCTATCTATCTATCTATCTATATATATATATTCATATACATGCACACACATATATTTATACATTCATGTATGTCTGTATGAGTGTATATCAATAAAATTTGTGAAATATTTTATAAACACAAGCACACATACATATGTATAACTACATATAATATAACACATTATTATATACACGTATATACATATATATATATAATTTATGTATATACATAATTAAATATATATGTCACAAACACACTGTGTGAATGTTTAGACCGTAGGGAGGACCTCTCTTAAGTATTATGAATTGTTTCAAGTGTTCCTCCAAAGTTTAAGGGTTGAGAATAAGAATTTATAATATTACACCTTAGTAGCCAAGCCAATGTTAAAATTCTGATAACAAAACATTCGCTTCTCTTAACTATGTCACTGATTTCAAACATGCTTAAATATAATATGCAACCTTACAAGACTTTTGATGGTAAGGCCAAAACATTCTGTGGGAAGTGTTTCATTAAATTTATAACAATTTTCGCTCTGCTATACAACGTCCATCTTGTCTTTCACATATACTAAGTATATGTATATCTGCATACACACAATACAGACATATGTATGTATGTAAACATGCATCATGCGCATTTTAGCGCGCTCATGGTAAAGTCGAGCAAATCTGTAGGTGTCTGGATATAGAGAATGAAAATGCAAGAAAATGTAAAATGTGCCTGTTTAATACAATATGTAACAAATATACAATCAATAGTTATTTTCCCTTCACACATCTAAGCGTAGGAGGGGGTGGGTGGCTTGTAGGAAGGCTGAGGAGGTCCATAAGTGGCTTGTGGGGCGGGGTACTGAGCCCTCTCCCTCGTAGGTCACATCAGCCACGTAACCGGAGTCTCCGTTGACAGTAGGTCACCTTCTGCAGACGACCGTCGGGAAGAAGGACGTAGTAGGATCCCTGTGTGTGGTCGCCATCACGGGCTTCCTGGTGTCCGAAGTCGTTGCCAGATGGTGGGTCGTTGACGGCGTAGTTGAAGTCGTACTTTGCGGTGCGTAAGAGGGAGTGGGAGCAGAGTAGCCATAGGTAGGCGGGCTATCTGGACGGGCGAGGGCGGCGGCCATGAGGACGGCTAGAACGAGTACCTGTAACACATCAAAAGTATCAGTACTATTTATGTAATGAAGTGAGACATTTGACCGATATATCTGCAATATCTAGAAGGCTGGAATGATTATACATTATGCCATGCCTTGAATGCCATGCTGTCGGACGTCGCGGTGAGACTGGTGGAGCGAAAATTCCCTTCTGTTATATAAGTGTCGAAGTGAAAACTCCGCCCTGATGATTGCGCCAGAGAGCATCATCCCAACTCGATTGCCTTGAGATCTTCCGTGACCGAGTTTTCCCCTTCGTCGGTGATACACTTACGGTTGACGTTCTGTTTGTAGGTTGTATTCTTCGAGAGGGAAAAAAGCCAAATTCACGAGAAAGCGAGACTGCCTCTCCCCTCCGGTCAACAAAGAATACAAAGGGCTTATCGTCACAATCACAAAGGCTGACTCACGCTATCGGCCACGTTCCTCGGGCAGGTAAATATGCCAGAGCCAAATTGGCGATACAGCTTAATACGTCTGAAATGATCAGTTATTTCCATGCCATCGCGGATAGATTTATAGTAGCGGCACTTTTAAAGAAATAAAATACCCTCCATTATGTATGTAATTTAGGTTATTATTCACAAATCAGAAGTATCGAAGTCAAATTGTAAAAGGTTAATATTATGAAAAATATATTAATGAATGTTTCCAAAGACTAATTTATACTCATCCTTCTTTACTTTTACTTCAGCTCTAAACTCTGACAACACTTTTTTTTTTAATACGCCGATTATGAATGGGTTTTAAAGGGAAGAAAAAGATAATTGATAAAAATGAAAGTAGAAATCAGAAACTGTGAAGAAATGATGCATGTATGTTAGAGTGTATGATCATGCATATGATCATGCATATGGTAATTAACAAATGCTGAATTTTACAATATAAAAAGTGCATACAGTTATTTTCCCGGGCAAGGAGGAGAGACAAACATTAATAAATGATAAAGTATTTCAACAGAAACCATAGTACTTCAGCTACATAACAGAAAAGTCTCCAATATATTACGATTTGAAATATCAGTCCGGGAACGACACAAATCGCAGATTCTAACTTGGTATAATCGGTGCCTGAATAGTCCTTTGAATATCGCAGATTCTAACTTGGTATAGCCAATGCCTGGAAAGTCCTTTGAATATGTTTCTATCGTCTCTGCTATGATTCTCCACAGACCTGTAACTCAAGTACACACAAAACACAGAAAGAGATGGTTGTGAAAGATGAATAGCTGACATCTATCTCTTAACCGAAGGCTCCTCTGGTGGCGGGGCGCAGAGGTCTATTTCGACTAATTCTTGCCCCGCTGACATACGAAAATAGCCTGTGCCGGTACCCATAGTTAAGCCATTAGAAAGAGAGAGAGAGAGAGAGAGAGAGAGAGAGAGAGAGAGAGAGAGAGAGAGAGAGAGAGAGAATTAGTATAATCCTGAAGTTATAGTATTTACAACTAAACCTCCGAAAATATAAACAGTTAAACATTTTTAAACCTTTCTAACAGCAGACAAGTAAACCATAAAGATGTCAAAACACTAGATTCAGCACAATAAAACACTACAGCACCACAGCACAATAAAACACTAGAGGCACCAGCACAATAAAAACACTAGATTCAGATTCAGCACACTAGATTCAGCAGATCAGCAGATTCAGCACAATAAAAACACTAGATTAAAACACTAGATTCAGCACAATAAAAACACTAGATTCAGCACACTAGATTCAGCACAATAAAAACTAGATTCAGCACAAATAAAAACACTAGATTCAGCACAATAAAAACACTAGATTCAGCACAATAAAAACACTAGATTCAGCACAATAAAAACACTAAATACAGCACAATAAAAACACTAGAAGCACAATTAGATTCAGCACAATAAAAACACTAGATTCAGCACAATAAAAACACTAGATTCAGCACAATAAAAACACTAGATTCAGCACAATAAAACACTAGATTCAGCACAGATTCAGCACAATAAAAACACTAGATTCAGCACAATAAAAAATAGATTCAGCACAATAGATTTTCACTAGATTCAGCACACAAATTCGTTTTCCTCAACACAAACAAAACAACGCCCATATAATAGCCTGGTAGAAAACCACCCGAACCTGCTTATCTTGGGCTCTTACGTGACCAGAGATTCCCCCGCCGGCGATGTTCCTCGGAGTGATTCAGGATGAAAGTGCGTGTCCTCAGGTTTGCTTTACCTGCAGCATAACGGTGCTAATACGAAAAGACAACTAAATGAATATATATATATATATATATATATATATATATATATATATATATATATATATATATATATATATACATATATATCACACACACACACGCACACACACATAACATATATATATATAATATATTATATATAATATATATATATAGTATATATATATATATATTATGTATATATATATCTGTGTGTGTGTGTGTGTGTGTGTGTATGTGTGTGTGTGTGTGTGTGTTGTTTTGTTTGTTTGTTTGCGCGTGTGTGTGTGTGTCTATGTATGTATGTTTGTATGT